CCGGCATGTTGGCATGGGAACGCCAAGCCCGGCACGGTAGCGGCGGCTGACTGAGTAACGGCACAGCCGACCGCCGCGGCAGGCCACTTTGCACTCCTGCCTGCAATGCATGCACCCTTACATGTGCAGCCTTCTGGTATTTTCATGTGCCTGGGAGATGTGCGGGCATGGGGGCCCATGTGCCCCATGCCATTTGAGTGCCCGGCGGCGGCGCTGCCTGCCGCCGGGAGCCCGCACCAGCATCGGCACCCGTCGGCCTGGCAGGCCTAAGCTGCTAAGGATCCCCACGTCCCCCACCACGTTGTGGGGGTTGCGTGTCCGGCAGGACGGGGAGCGGGGCCAGGGTGGGGTGACCCTGGGACGCTCAGCTGGGGGGAGGGTGGTCGGAGCCATGGAGAGGGTGCTCCATGGTCCACCCCCTCTCTTGATGCCCCTTGATCACGTGTGCCCCCTGCCCAAGGTCTGCTCACGCGGCCTATCATAGCGGGGTGACTGTAACACAGGGTGGGGCCTCCAAGACCGCTGTGGTCGAGCCCCCGGCTGCCATTAAGAACGCACAAGCATAAAGCAGGCGGTCGCCTGCTTCAGTGCCTCATGCGCTGCAGGCCAAACGGTGAAGGAGCTCACTGAATGGGAACAAGGCAGCAAAATGGGGCGCCACATCAGCGGACCAGCAAGGCTGTGGTAGGCACCAAGCTCACGGCCCCTCACCCTTTCACGAAGGTTTCGATTGTGGCAAAGGGCAGCTGAAGTGCACAGCCGTTGCCATAGTCTGAGGCCCTACAAGTGCTGCAGAGCGCCCCTGTGAGCGCTCTGCTCCTGCCAGCGAGCTCTCGCAGAGTGTCCCAGGCTTCCACACGCAGCAGCATGGCCTCCCCTGGGCCCCAGCGCTCAAGCCAGGCGGCCTCGCCTGGCGGCGCCGCCGCCATACTGGGCTCTTCCTGCCAGGCCACCAGCAGCCTAAGCGCCGAACTGGGGCTGCTGCTGAAGGAGCTGCCTGGCCTTGTGGCCAGCCAAGCTCCGCAGGACCGAGATCGCCTGGCGAACATGCTGAGATCTGTGCAAGGGATGGTGTGCACAGATTCGCTGGCAGCTGCGGCAGCGGTGCCCCCGTAAGTGAAGGCAGCTTGCTTGTGCTGCTAGTGCTCGCCAACACCCAGCTGATAATCGAGCAGAACTCTCATGTGACCCAGCGGCTGGTTGCAGGGAGGTTTTTGGGCTGGCGGGAGAGCAGCTGGCAGCGTCGGGTGAGGCACTGTTAACGGCACGGCAGGGCGGCAGCCGTGGCGCCAGCACCAGCCAGCCAGCGCCTGATGTGTGGCTATCGCAGTTGCTTGCTGCATGTGATGCAGCAAAGGTCTGCGGGGAGCTGGCCGCAGCAAGGGTGGATCTGCAGCCGGCAGCACGCCTGGCTCTCTGCCGCGCTGTTGAGCTGCTGCTGGGAGCCGGGCGCGTGCCGCTGGCAGAGTTTGCAGCAGGTCAATTGCCTGTTGAAGTTGTGCCAGCGTTCGCTATGACGGTGCTGGGTATGGAGCTGGATGTTATGAATGTGCTGATGAAGTATTCGCAGCCTACGGCGAGATATCTGGAAGTGCTGGCCAGTTTGGTGCTCACTTTGCGCCACCTGAGCGCTTTGTGTCCTGGATGGAGGCGGCTGTGGGAGCTGCCAACACGCTGCGCATGCATCCCGCCACGCAAAACACAGGTACAGGGTCCCGCCACTGCAACTCTGCTCCACTGCTGCCAGCTTCTTCTGCGCCGTGGCACGTGAATGCAAGTTTGACCATTCTTTCATGCCGCTGCCTGCGCAGCTGGAGCGGATGGCGTGCCCACAACCGTAGTTATCCTCGAAAAGATGGCGGAGAATCTTTTTTATGCACCGACCTTTGAGCAGTTCCGTGCTATCCAGCAAGGTGGCAGCTGGCACACGGGACTTATTGAGCTCATTGTACCGGCGCTGCACAGGACCGCCATCATTCTGCAGCTGCCAGCCGAACGGCGCCCAGCAGTACTTAACTGGGATGACATTGGCGCCATGGCAGCTGTCCTGGCAGCCAAAGAAGTGGGAGATGCGCTGGAGGAGCACATGCAGGCAGAGATGGGACACGCCAGACAGGTGGTCAGCAGCAGCACCCTGCGCCTGCTGTGCATGGCGTGCCTTTTGGTGGTGCATGCGCCGCTGCACGCAACCGATTTGCAGCCAGAGCTGCTGACAAAACTGATGCAGCTGTTGGGCAGAGTGTGCCAGCATGCATTTTGCGCTCTGCATGGGTTCAGCGCCAATGACCTGCTCGGCCGCCAGCAGATGGCACAGCTCTCGCGGTTGGCGGAGCAGCTGCTGCAAGCGTTGCCACGCCTGCCTCAGATGCTGCAGCTTCTGGCAGCAGATGAGGAGCAGCAGTTTGGGTTAGACTCAGTTGTAGTCGTGTGTGACGGATGGGAGGAGGCAGCCTGTCTGATGGAGAAGCTGCTGGAACTCTCCATTCCTGAAGGACTCGGCAGCTCGGCAGCCGCAGCCAACAGCGCGGCAGATCTTCCGGCATGGTGCAGGGCAGGTAGCGCAGCCATTCGCGCCCTACCTCCGCTAGCAGCCATAGCCCAGCAGCTCCAGGGCCTGTCACTTTATCGCCTTCAAAGCCTGCTTGCCAGGCTTTTTGAGTTCTCAGTCTCCCTTTCGGCAGGTCTACAATCATGTGGACGCCAGTTTGGTGCCTCCCCGCCAACAGATTGAGTAACTGAGGCTGAGGCGGCACTGTGGAGCCTTCACACAGAAGCATGCCGGTCAGGCCATTGGCAGGCTGCTGGCGGCTCCGCACTGACCTTCACGGTGCAGGTATGGCTGGCTGTCCTGTGCGTCGCCAACACAGCTCTGCTTGCCTCTTGGCAGCTGCATCAGCGGTCGCAGGAAGGCGACACAGAGCCAGCCAGGTGAGCGAATTGTATGTCCCTTCCTGCCATCCACGCCACTTCTATTCCATCTGGCTAGTTTGTCTGCTACTGCTGCAGGCACCTGGCTGGCATGGCCGCCGCCCACCTGCAGATGCTCCAGGCTGTCATTTGCGATGCGGGCCGCATGGATGAGCTGCTTGATGCAGCTCCACAGCGGCAGCCCTGCCAAAACTGCGCTGAAGTCGCTGGCACCATCGCAGTGTGCGCCGCCCAGTGCCCAGCGGCAGTCGAGTCTCCTCTCTGGGAACTGCTCAGGCAGACAGTAATGAACATGTGCCCAGCGGTGCGTGGAGGGCAGGGGGAATCATCCAGTCTTCTAAGCTGCAGCAGTGTCATGGTAAATTTGAACCCACATGTGCAGGCCTTGCCGCAGGCACCGTCCCAGCACGAGTCTGCCTTGTGGGCCAGCATGCGCGCCGTCATTGTGCAGGCGGCGGCAGGCTCTCCGCGCCTGACTACCCACCTCCTGGCTGATTTTGTGATGGATGAAGTGATGACTCAGCTGGTTCTGGCTCAGTTTGACGGAACAGCACTTGGAGGCCGGGCGATGGTGGTAAATTCCAACAGCAACGTGTCTCACTGAACGGGCAGCAGTGCCAAAGATTGACCTCCTCTGGCTCGCCCTGGACGTGCAGGTTGCCCATCAACACGCAGTCACCGGCCTGCTCTCCATGCTGCTGGCTGCGTTTGATGGGATATGCACCGCAGCGGCAGACATGATGACAGCGCCGGGCAGCGGCTTGGCCAGTCTTCAGCCTGAGCTGGCCTGGCTGGAATCCACGCTCGGCCACCTACGCCATCAGGATGTGTCTGTATTCCCGTGGGCGAGAGCAAGAATGGTCGTCACTAGTATGCATACGCAAACCAGTGCTGTCTCTCCCGCTCGCCAGCTGGCAGCGGCGCTGTTGGAGCACTGGGGCCAGCCGGAGCAGCAGCAGCAGGATGCGCTGCAGCTGGCACAGGCGGACGCCACCCGCAGCTGCGCCTACCTGCGCTGTGCCAATGTTGGCGGGGAGGGTGGCCCGGCCGCAAGCCAGGGCTCCGGCAGCCGGCGATGCGGGCAGTGCCGTGCGGTGTGGTACTGCAACACTGTCTGCTCTCATGCGGACTGGCGGCAGGGCGTGCATCGGCACGTGTGCAAGGCGCTCAGGGAAGTGCGCCAGCAGGAGAAGCAGCAGGCTCGGGCGGCGCAGCAGCCGACAGCAGGTTGAGCCGCTGGCATCAGCAGCAAGATCAGCACAAAAGGCGTCCTCTATTGGCATTTCCTGTTACAATTTCATTTCTGCATGTTTTTGTGTACACACATCAAATCAGCATGTACCTTCTCTTTCCTCACCGTCATCCTCAAATTTACAAATAAAACGAATGGCCAGCTGATTGAGTTTAAAATGAATCACAATTCACTGAAATGGCAGACAAGAAGAGAATAGGTGCTCTCAGGTCCTCTCAGGTGATCTCAGAGACAGTTCTGGACGACACACACACAAAGCATGGAGCAACCAGGCTTGGGACCTATAAACTCGCAGCTGCTTCCGGCATCATCAATCAATCGGCAGGATGGCACTGCTGAGGGCCGCCGCCGCCTCACAACTCCGTGCTGCCAGCGCTGGCGCCATCCCGTTCAAGCACCAAGTGCTTCATGCTAGCAGGCACATAGTCAGGGTACTGCAAAACATGGGGTTCATGGTGGTCCCCGCTGAAGTATCGTCCCAGCTCTTGAAAATGACGGGCTGCACATCAGGCAGGGATGAACGGGCTGCTCAGTCGGCGCCTGACCGGCGGCATTTGCCAGGCCGTCATGATGAGCGACATGAATGCAAGTGTGCATGAATGACTCATGCGGTCGCAAACATGCAGATGTGGGCTGCCCGCCCGCGGGCACAACCCAAGCTCAAGCTGCGCCCACCCGGAATGGCGGGTTATCGGTCACGACCAGCGCCTGGAAGTCTTCTGCGCCTGTGTTCACCAGCTGGTGCCGTGCGCCAGGCAGGATGTTGAACGTCGATTGGTGCGAACCGGCACTTGCACCACCTTGCCATCCTGCACAGACCGCAAAGGGAAGACCCGAGATGGATGCACAGCCAGCTCAGTGTTGCAGGAGAAGCATACTCCCTGTGTCTGGAGCGTGCGCTGCACGAGTCTTAACGCCCCCTGCTCCGCCCACTCGCCTTGTCGCGAATGAAAGCTGTCCCCTCGCCCCGCATCACAAGAAAGACCTCGTTGCAGGCGTGCTCGTGGATGGGCGTGGCGGCGCCAGGGGCAAAGGTCTGCTGGAACACTTCGAAAGTGCGCATGCCATGCTGGCGGTACCCTACAGCAAGCGAGCAGCACCAGGGTGCGCACTATGTGATCATGCCACCATGCAGCCATCCCAATTCAGCCATCAGCGTGTGCGCCTCTGCGCTACCCACCGTGGAGCGTCGCATGCACCAGGCCGGGAATGGGGTGCTTCCCAGGCTGCAATTCATCAACCTGATAGACAGGGCTGAGCGGGAAGCCTGCACGGCACCAGCTTGTTGGACTATCTGGCATCAATCGGCCATCAACCCTAAAAACCAGTGTAACAGTGCAGGATCGGCGGCCAAGGCGGGTGGCGGCACAATGAGCCCCATCCCAGAACTGCAGTGGCTGCTTCCATCGCTGCATCGAGAAGCCCACAGCCACAGCCCTTGGCAGGTAGCTTGCCTGCGAGGACGTCTGCGCATTTGCCAGGCGTCTGGGCCAGCAGGTCGGTCAGTTTGGCGGTCAACGTGCTGTGGTACACGCTCCATCGGGAACCCACAGCCGTGCCAATAGCAAAGGCGAACGCAGCCACCAAAAGAACCCGCATGGCGACAAATCGCGTTCTGCAGGTTCTGCTGGGCACCAATCGTGATGGGTGGACCGATGCAATGGTCTGTTTGGTTTGCACTGGCTGCAGTGGTCGAAGGGACTGCCAGGTGGCTGCCAGGTGTGTCCAGCCGGGACACCATCAAAACAAACGATGAAGTCGAAATCTGGCCCTTCTTACCATCAACTGATCAATGCAGACCCTACTGCAGCTGGCCATCCACCAGCTGGGCCAGCTGCTCTGCTGGGGCAGCGCCCCAATCGATGTGGAGGCCATCCCGGAGCCTGAACTCGCCCTGGAAGTTTGGAGAGCTTGGCAGGGCAGCCTGGCGGCCGCCAACGCCGCCGCCGCCAGAGGACGGCCGCTGCCGTCGTTGCCGCGCCAGCAGCAGGTGTGGGTCAGCCCAGTAAGCCGCCTCATGAGTATGAGCCATCCCGATTCCCCCTTGTCGCATCCAGAATGTGTTGCTCGGTCCCCCTCGCAGGTCTTGGCCGCCTTTGCCGCCGCCTATTGGCGCCCGCAGGTGCTGCGGATAGCCTTCCCCGCCGCCATCCCACCAGGCCTGGCCAGCCTCTCCCTGGTGGCGCAGCAGCTGCTGCACCTGGAGCTGGCAGCGCCTGCGCTGCGGCAGCTGGACACCGTGGCAGCAGCCTGCCCTCGCCTGCGCTGCCTGAGCCTGCGTGGCTGCACCGGGCTGGGAGATGTGAGCATGGCGACGCTTGGGCCGCACCTCACAGCGCTGCGAGCGCTTGACCTGGGTGGCCTGCCGGCCCTGACGGATGCTGCATGCTTCCACATCGCCAAGCTGCCCTCCCTGGCAGCCCTCAACCTGAGTGGCACGGCCGTGGGGGACAGCGGCCTACAGCTGCTGACGTACGGCCACAGGGTGCGCGCCTGGCAGCGCGCAGAGGGTGTGGCCTCCCTGCCTCCCGAAGCGGCAGCCTGGCCGGCGCTGCCGCTCGAGCATCTGCAGCTGGCGGGGACGCGGGCGGGCGCTGCGGGGGCAGCAGAGCTGGCGCACCTGCCGCAGCTCAGGTAGGGCGGGGCAGAGAGAGGGGACTGAGGTCAAGCGAGTCGCTCAACCGAGTGTTGCCTGCTGCTTCACTGGGTGTTGCCACGGCACATGTCCAGGTGCAACCACCTGCTGTGCTATGGGCTGTACCGCGATTGCAGGTTTCTGGACATGCGGCACACAGGGATTGCTCGCCACGTGCTGGCCCCACTGCAGCGCCGCTTTGCGCTGCAGTTTGTGCAGGCCGTGGTGCGTGGGCGCACGCCCTTCCATATGTGTGCAGAGACTAACGGAGTGTGGTGCTTCCCCGTGCCGTGCCACCATGCCTTTGCAGTCACCCCACCGCTTGCTGCATGCAGGTGCTGACCAGCAGCAACACAGTGGCAGCAGCAGTGGTCAACCAGGATGCGGTGCTGTGCCGCTGTGGGTGCAGCAGTGCCAGCCAGCCAGGTGCGGGGCAGTTGCTGCACAGCAGGTTCGCTCGCTCTGCCCGTGCTGCCCACATCGGCGGCTGTTGCCGTTTATCTTCCTCTGCAACTGGATGCTTGCAGGCAGGGATGGCTCGGCGCAGGTGCAGCAGTGGGAGGCTGACGGAGTCCAGATGCTGCTGCACTGGGATCCGGCTGCGGGCAGCCTCGTTGGAACCCAGCCGCAGCAGCGGTACTGCGGGCATATGGGCTGGCCCACCGGTGCTGCTTCCACCCCCGGCGCAGCAGCAGCAGCCGCCGATGCTCAGCGGGTTGGCATGCCCGGGGGGCGGCGCATCGGCTACCGCGAGCCGCGCCAGGCGACAGCAGCGGGCGGCGGCGCTGGCGGGTGGCTGCCGGGGCGAGGCAGCAAGAGGAAGTGGGGCACGCAGTAGCTGTTGTAACACTTGCCCAAGTTGCAACGATGTGGTAGGGCATATGAGATGTCCTGAGCACTGCTCAGTGAGCAGGCAGGGTGCGCGCTGCCGGCGCCACGCTGCGCAGGCACAGCAGCATCACGTGCTCAAAATGCGGCGGTGCCAGTCCCGAGGGTCATTCTGCAACGCTGCTGGCAGCCGCTACGCAGTCCCTGCTGGCCAGTTTGTTTTGTTGGCTGGGGCAGTGAGTTGTGCAGCAACCGCCATGCTGCCTGCTTTCAGCCAGGGCCTGCGAGCCCTGGCCGTGGCCAATGTAGGAGGTGCGCCGGCTGCATTGCGCTTATCGCGCTGAACCAACCGGGCACAGCTGCGCTTGACTGGTGGCGGCGGCGGCGGGCCAATCTGGCGACGGCAAGGGGCGCAGGCCAGGGACGGCCTAACATGGTGTATACGTGCAGCTGACAGCTCCCCAGCACCAAGCAGCATTGTCGGCAGCACACAGCGACGACCCAGGAACCGTTCGCTGTGTGACGACAGTTCTCGCCCCTGGTGCTTTGCCTGCAGGCGGCCTGGCGCTCTTATCAGCCTGCAGCCTGCGGCTGGCGCATTCGGAGGCCGCCGCCGCCGTGCGGGAGCGGCCGCGGTCCAGACGTGCGGCGTGCGGTGGCGGCGGCGGCGGGTGCCCCCACCACGCTACCTGAGCTGCCGGCGCGGCCCAGCTCCCGCTGCGTGCTGCCGCTCAACTCCATCAACGACCCCGACAACTGGGGGTTGGGTGTGAGCCCGCAGGGCAGTGGGGAGCCAGAGTACTACTGGTGAGCAGCTGGACATGGTTGCTGCTGGGATGGTCCCCACGTGCAGCAGCCTGGCAGCTGTATGGGACTGGTCAGGCTCAAGCTTGTGCCTTGATGCATGCAGGCAGGACAGCAGCATCAGCAACCCCAAGGAGACAGTGACGCTCAGCTGCGCGCGGGCCGGCGCCCCCAGCCCCCTGCCAATCCACGTGCGCCCCCTGCCAGCTCCTGCGGCCGTAGGCGGCCTGCACGGGGTGGGCTGGCTTTACACGGCAGGGGCCAGCCACCTGTCCAGATGCTGTGCCTCGCCTCCAGGTCGCGCCGCGCGCCTGCTCACCTCCCGCCCCCAGCCCCCGTGCAGGGCTTCCGCACCGCCCAGACGCGGCCCACCTTGCACCGCATCGTCTTCCGCTCGAGCATGCTGGACCCTGACGTTCACCCGGCGCTGGTGATCAACCCCCCCGGCAGCAGGCCAAGCGAGTAGTGCAAGCTCGTGCCGACTGCGTGGTGGAGCCACTCAGCCGGCAACCATTGTTGCCTAGTGTTGAGCCATCCGGACTATGGCATTTTTTTTAAATTGAATCCCCTTGTTTCATTTTACTGCAATTGAAATTCTGCACTCTCGTGGTCAAACCAATAACAAACAGATGGGCAGTGAGCTGCTTGTAATCAGTCCTCGCCGATCGATTCCACGGCACCTGCGCAAGGCGCCGGCGCCAGTGCCAGACAGATGGCTCCCCCCTCGGCGTCTTCTACCAGCTTCACGCAGTCCAGTGGGCTCGCAACTGCAAGCATCTGCGTTTCAGAAACGCAGCTGGGCGAAGCTGCAGGACGGGCTCCGCGTGAAGATGGGGACCGCGCTTTGCCCCTCTGTTGTTTGATCAAATCGTCATTGGCCAGCCAATATTTATTCCAAGCTTGCAGTGGGAAGAGCAGGAATAGCGGCAGTCCCTCGACAAATGCTGCCCCGCCTGCACCGTGGGCTCCTGTTGCTGCTTGCATCGTCGCTGATAGCACATATGGGCAACGCACAGAGCGGCGCGCAGCAGTGCGAAGACCCCAAGGTGTGCAGTCTTCTGAAGAGATTTGCTGCCCCTGTGCTCTCCCGGCGCTGTGTAGCACACCGTAGTGCGCATTGCATTGTGTCGAAGAGCGGGTGGGGCTGTCAGAGACCGTTGCCGGCCTGCCGCCTTCTGCCGTCGAGGCGCACTGACCTTCCCTGCCGCGCCTCGAACTGACTGCCGTGCCTGCCCCTGCAGGCGGGCAAGCTGTCTGTGACCGGATCTGCCACAGTCACGGAGATGCCAGACAACGCCAAGGTCTTCCTCTCAGTGTCCGTGACCAAGCCCACCGCCGCCGAGGCTCGCGAGGAGGCGGCCGCCACGGCCGATGCAGTCATGGCCGCTGTGGGTGGCGTGGAGGGGATCAATGGCGCCAGCGACATATCCACAAGCGACATCTCGCTCCAGCCAAACTACATCTGGGTGCAGGAGACCGGGTGAGGCGCTGGGGCGGCGTGTACGGCGCGGGTGCGGTTGGCACAGGACTGGTCTCCTCGGCGAGATGCAACCAGGGCCCTCATCTGTCCTGCACCTGGGATGTGCGCGCTGCCATGCTGCAGGCAGAACAGGATCACCGGCTATGTGTTCACGCAGCAGATCTCCGTGAAGATCAGCAACCTCACATCCGACACGCTGGGCGCGGTGGTGGACACCGCGGTCAAGGCGGGCGCCAACAACCTGCAGGCATGTCGTGGCAGCGGCACCCTTTTGTGCTGCATGTATGTATCATGGCCGGGTGCCCGAGCTGGGCATAGCTGGCAGCTGCAGGTGCGCAGAGCATGGTGTTCTGAGTGGGCCCTGCCGCTGTCGTGCGGACCCTGCAGGTCTCCAGCATCCAGATCGAACTCAGCCCCGCCCTGCGCCGCCAGGCCATGGACCAGGCGCGGGTGCTGGCAGTGGAGGACGCCGCCAACACCGCCCAGATCCTGGCAGATGTGCGCAGCACTGAGCCTGTCCCTGTGGCCCTCGGCCTGCGGTGGCATGCAATGTGTCGGCGTGTGTCTGCGCAAACTACTGGCACAACGGGTCTTGCTGGCTGCAGTTCAGCATCTTGCGTTCGCTGTCACCGGTTTGCCCGCCTCTTTGCCTTGGTGCTTGAGTGCAGGCGGCCAAGGTGACCCTGGGGCCCGTCAAGTCGCTGGCAGATAGCAACATTGCGCCGCCCACCCCCTACCCCATGCCAGCAGCAGGTGGGTTGTTGGGCTCTCGATGAGATGCAGGCTGCCGGTCAGGCCGGAGGCCATACTGGGCATACGGTCGATCGTGTCAAGTGCCAATGGGTCATGTGCTCTTCGTTAAGTGTAGCCGATGGGCAAACTTTGAGCATCTTGAGCTGTTACTTCCTCAACAGCTCAAGATGCCCTTCATCTGCTGTGCGCTTGAGCTGGCTGTGGTTGCTGCAACGCCGGCATGGGGTGAAATGCTGCCTGCAGAGATGGCTGTGGCAGGGGCAGCCGCCGCAGATACCGCGACGCCAGTACAGATCGGAACCACAGATGTGAGGCTTGCTGCCGCTGCTGCTGCCGGCTCCGCCGCTGCTGGCTGCAGGGAAGGAAAGTGCTGCGTTTAATGGGGATGCGCGCACTGCCACTCCTGTCGTTATTGGAACCGCCGAAGTGAGCCCATGCTTGATTTGTGGACAAGCCCGGCAATTTGCTGCTAAGCAGTACAGGGCAGGAAGCACACCCCAGCTGACCGCCGTGGGCCTCCTCTGTGTGCACTCTATGCTTGTAGGTGATCGCTACTGTGAGCGTGGAGTACGCTGTGATGAACGCGTAGGCGGCCTGTGGAGGGGCTGTGGAGGGCGCTGCCTGTCGGCGTCGCGGCTGGCGTTTGAAGGGAATGGGGATGCCCGCCACCAGCCGCTCTGCTTGTTGTTTTTTTGGTTATTGAGTGCCAGCGAGTATAAATAAAAGTCTCACATGCATTTGCTGGCGAAGCCAGCATCGCAGCCCTTACATTTTTTCTGTCTATACAAGGTTGTTTTGCCCATTTTTGCAACTGCTTAACTTGTCCCCAGCTGCTTCCATCTGTCCCGACTGTGAGAAACCTCTCGTCACAGGCAACCCAGCAATGCACATTAGAACCAGCCAAGCCACCCTATCTTGTCGGTCCGCCCATGCCTCATCCCACCCCAGTTCGGCTCATCCAGTGAAGCAGCAGACTCCCATGTGCGCAGCAGCTCCCCCGGTCTGGGACTCGCAATGGTTCCGCCGGTCTTGGACTCGCAATGCTGCCTCAACCCCCCCCCCCCCCCCCCCCCCGATTAGCGGCTTTGGCCAAAACAATGTTGTGTTTCTGGCCAATGCGAGTTTTATAGCAACACAACACAAAACAGCGCAACGCAACAAGCTGCAGCAGGCATGACATGGCGACGGCAAGGAGCTCCCAATCAAACGGAGCCCAAATTCGTGCTCACGGCTGCTTCGCCGCCAATGTGGTGGATTCGAAGATTTTGTCGGCGTTAAGCGCCTCAAAGCCGTCTCTGCGGTGCCGCTCCTCTACCTGCTCTGGCTGCAGCATGGACGACAGCAAGATGCCAGCACATGGCCAGCCAGAGAGTTGGATCAGTAGCAGCACCAGGTGCTGTCTTTGCGGGTGCCGGCAGGCTGCGCCAGGTGCCTCACCTTGAGCCCCGCAAACTGCGGAAGCACCAGGCGCTCGGCAAACTCGACGTAGCTTCCGGGCACCAGCTCTGTCTCGCCCCCCGCAAAGCAGTAGGAGATGCGGTCTGCCACGGTGCTGGACTGCAGCAGGCCGCCGTCGGGGGACACCTGCAGCCAGGCGCCAGTTGCCAGGGGCGGGGTCTAGATGGGCACACTTCGTGTGTGGCACGGTATGCATGCGGTATGCACGAGGGCTGATGGGCTGCGGGATTTGATGGCACCCCCTACCCCACCTGGTGAGCTACCCGCCAACACACCAGCCCGCCACCCACCCCACCCCGCACCTTTGTGATGCCGCCCTCGCCATTCAGCAGCACCCCCTGCTCCTGCAGGAAGGTGTTCAGCGCCTCCAAGCCGCCTGTGTGCCCCTCCAGGCGGTGCACTACAGCAGTGAGGGGAGAGGAGAGCAGCAGGATGTGAGGGCGGCGGTGGATGCGGGCGAGAGCACGGCCTGGCGAGCCACGCCGCCCTTGCTGACTGCCTCACCTGCAATCGTGGCGTGGTTCAAGGCGTAGCCGTTGACCAGCACCCAGGCGGCATACTCGCTCTCCTGTACCATTGCAGCGGCAAAGCGGGCAAGTATGCTAGCGTTCCCATTGCCACTGGGCCCAGAACGCAGGTGGTCCCATCTTGCCCGCCTGACACAGTGCCAATCAGGTGGTTGGCCCGGCCAGCCATCCACTCAGCCAAGCCCAGCCAGCTCCCCACCTGTGCCAGCAGCTCATAGTCTTCCAAGGTGGGGGTGTACCATGGCTGCACACCCAGCAGCGCGCTCATGAGCCCGTACTTTCCAAGCAGCGACGGGGCCGCCGCGCCGCCCACGTACTTTTGGATCACCGCCTGCGCCGCGGGGGACAGCTCCCCCACCTGCATGGCAGAAGCAGTCTCAGCAGTGGCAGTAGCAGCCGCGGCAGCTATGGCAGCAGCAGCGGCAGTACTGCCGCCTTGCCTTGATTTCAGAGATGAACACGCGGGGCAGCTCCGGGTCGGGAGGCGAGTACCAGTAAGCCTGCGGGCAGCAGCACAGGACAGGACACGGCAGCAGGGAAAACTCGTGCTAGTGCATTGTCTGGCCCGCTGCGCGGTATCTCTTGCACCTTCCCATCCTCCCTAGCGTGGAGATTCCTGCTGCTTTGCCTCATACTTTGCAATACACAAATTCCCTTCTTGCTGACCTGCAGCTTCTTTGCCGGGAAGGTGAGCATGTCCCGCTGCTGGTAGCCAAAGTCTGTGAACAGGGCGGCGGCGCTGGGGATGCCCAGTCCCTCCACCTGCAGAGCAGGCAGGGGTCGGTGGGTTGCAGTTGGGGGCAGGGAAGGAGGCCACAGCCCCCAAGCAGACCAGCACAATCACGCTCATTCGCCTGTGCTGTTGGGACCTTACCCCAAATGTGCGGAACGCAAAGTGGTCAAAGCCGAGGCAGGCGTCAGGGTACCTCTGCTCCAGCATGCCCACTATGGACTCCGCAGTGGGCGTGGTGTCTGCACACACGGGTGTGTGTGCGTGTGTGGGCGAGACAGCCATGGCACAACGAGGGCGGCCATCAGCAGCCCAGCACACAGAACAGGTGGTACGGCTGCAGGTGGCACGTCTTGGAGCTGCAGGCAGGCAAGATGTTGGGGTGTGCAGGCGCAGGCGACCCACCCCAGTATGGCGCCAGCACGCCGCTCAGTATGCTTTGGAACTGCAGCAATTTTCATAGGGAAGCCGCAGGGAGGCAGATGTTGCCCCACGCACTAGCAACACCCCCAGATGCCGCCTGGCGGTGGGCGCCTGGCAGCCCCCGTCACATGCACCACAGCTCCTTCCATTCCCGTGCTCTGCCTGGGTTACATCGCACCAGGTGCGAGTCCTCAGGTGTGCTGGCTGGCGGCTGCTGTGCCTCCCCGGCTGCTGCCGCCGCCGCCGCCCGCCCGCCGCTGGCAGGCCGCTGCTGCTGGGAGTGCAGGCGATGTATCGCGACAGCAAGCGGCAAGCGTGGCGGGCGTCCAGAAAGCCCGGCCAAGCTCGAGACAAGGCTGTAGCCTTGTCGGGAGTGAGACAAGGCCGAGCACAGGCGGTTCGCCATGGCTCCAAAGCTTGCTACAGCATGGGCAAGATGCTGCCATGAGCTACCAGGGGGGTATGGTGCAGGGTCGGGACATATGCGCGGGCCGCCACGTCACCAGCCGCCCTCGTGGCCGCCGCCGCTCTTCCGCCTGCTGACTGGGCCCCCAGGGCGCGGTGAAAGGGACAAGTCCGCCAGGTTCAGCCACCATTTTGCTCTACAAAAGGCTTCCAAAACGCCGCAGGCTTTGCTGTGCAACCCCAAATTTGGCCGGTTCAGCAGCCGGCTGTACACGCGCCCTGACTCATGATTCGTTCATTACAGAAATGGGGGCATGCACTTCCATCATTGTATGGAGAAATGTATGGGGATTGGACGAGTGAACAGAAAAGGAGGATAAGAGTACTAGTAGCACGGGTGAGTGAGCTGGAGGGAGAGAAACCGGGACAGTTCCAAAAAGAGCTAATCGTATCCAGAGCCAGAGAAAGCTGTGAATCAGGGATGATTAGGGGTGCATGAAAGCCAGGTACAAAAATTTACACGCATGATCGCTCTGCGGGCTGCCTCGGTCAGTGCTGCCCAAGAACAAGAGGCGGGCTGTGCCGCGTCAGCTGCGGTCGCGCTGCCGCTGCGCCTGCTGGTCAAACCACCACTGCGGCGCGGCGCCCCGCGGCTGGGGCACCTCCTGCTGCTGCTGCTGTCCCTGGGGCTGCCGCTCGCGGGCCCGCTGCTTCAGCCGCGCATCAAAGTTCTCGGCCTCAAGGTCTGAGGGCTGGCGCTCCAGGGGCTGATCGCTGCGATAGATCACATCCCTGCAAGCAGCAGGCCCGGGAGGCGGGCAGGGGGTGGTTAGCAGTGAAGCTGTGCGGCCGGCACGCAGGGGCAGCGCGAGCAGGCGCCAGCGACAGGCGTGCAGCCAGCATTGCGGGAAGGATGCCAGGGAGAGGTGGGCCATGCCACTGCAGCCAACCGCGACCGCCTCGCACGCCCACCTGTCTGTGATGACGCTGCGCTTGGCCGCCGCCGCCGCGCCCGCCAGCTTCTGCTGCAGCACGGGGTCGGGGCGCTGCAGCAGGGCGACCGCCGCCTCGCGCGCCTCGTTGCGGCTGTCCACCGCCGCGTTGCGCGCCGCGATTCGGAACCAGCGGAAGAGCGGGATGGCGAAGAAGGCGGCGGCGTAGGCCTGGAGCCAGGGCATGAGGCCCACCACTCCCAGCAGCCCGTTCTGGGCCAGTGCCAGCTTGCTGACCGGGTCCTGAAGCATCACCGTCAGCACGCCCACGCCGATTAAGTTGACCGCGCCCAGCGCCACGGCCCCCAGCTTCTGCCCCGCCGACGCCGCCGTCAGCTGCCACCGCGCCTCGCGAGCGCTGCGCTGCTTGGGCGGCGGCGGCGCGCCGGCCTGCGCAGGGACACGCGGGCAGCAGCAGGCGGCCGCTTCAGCGATGCGGCCAGGCGATGCAAGCCACAGCCGTGCGGGCCCAGGCAGGCGCTGTGCAGGCCAGCACAGCCACCCCCCCTGCCGCCAGCCACTCCGCCAGCTACCCAGCCACAGCCTGCACGGCCCGCCCGCCCGGCTGCCCCCAGGCTCACCCCGGCGGTCTGCTGCAGCTCGGGGAACTCGTACACGATGTTGCCAGAGGCGTCCACGCGCGGGGAGCCGTTGAAGCGGGCCAGCACAGGCAGCATGTAGGACTCATCCACTGCAGGCGGCAGGAGGCAGGCATGTGTGTGGTGGGATGGAGTGGAGACCAGGGAGGCAGGAGGCAGGATGTGGGGCCAGGGCACATGTCAAAACGCAGGCACGCACGAACACGCCAAGCAAACGGAAGCGCCCAGCAGCGGCGGCGGCACCAGGCACGCCATGCACGGAGCAGAGCAGTGCGGAGGCGCCACCCACCCGTGATCCTGCCACGGTCGGCGGCCAGCTGCCCGGGCTGCAGGTCCAGGAAGGGAGCCAGCTCCTCGGCCACCACCGTACCGCCGCGGGCGGCAATGTACCGCCCAATCTGCAGCACGGCGGATGGCAAACGCGTGTGCATGAGCCGGGGTGGCATGACAGGCAGGCCACAGCCGTGCAGGACCGCACAGGCCTGGCACCCAGCTCAGCAGAGACCCCCCAAACGGTCTGCATGCACGCAGGCCTCCAGCTGAACGCCCCACCCGGCTGCCCCACCCGCCACCCGCACGCACCGCCTGCCAGCGCTTCTTGTCGAAGTCTGCGTTGGGGTCCCCGTCGCCAAACACCCAGCTGAAGATCGCCTCCAGGAAGTTCATGCCGCCAGGGCGCTGCTCGCGCGCCATGCGGTCCCGGCGGTTGCGGTACCAGAAAGGGTCCCAGTACCACAGCAGGTCCGTCAGGTCAAAGTAGACGCGGGGGCCGAAGAAGCCGCCGCCGCCGCCGCCGCCGCTGCGCCCGCCGCCGCGGTTGTCGTCGCGGCTGCTGGCGCTGGACATGAGCACCGTGATGGCCAGGAAGACGAGCATGACCGAGGCGATGAGGGCGGTACCAAAGGCCACGCGCAGCAGGTACTCCAGTCCCGCCTGGAACCCTGCAGGCGGGAGGTGGCGCGGGCGGCAGCGAGGTGTGGCAGGGCGTGGCAGGGGAGGGGGCAGGCGCGCTGCGAGGCCTGCCGACCGGCGCAGGCAGTGACCAGACGAGGCAGCTGCTGCTGAGGGCGAGCATCCCACCAACAGCACCGGCACCAGCACCACCACACATGCACACGCACACGCGCATCAGCCATGCACACGCAGCATGCGGCAGGCCAGCCGGCACGCACAGCGCCCGCTCACCTGCCGCCACTGGCTCCAGGCGCAGCAGCAGCGACTTGGAGGCAATGGCTGCCTCAAAGCCGGGGGCAAAGGCGTACACAATGTCGCCCTGGGCAGACACCGCCAGCGTGGCCTGGCTGTCTGCCGCCAGCGCCTTGACCGCCGCCTCCGCCTGGTCCAGCTGCAGGCCCGCGGTGCTGGCCACGTCGCCTGCAGCAAGGAGGGGTGGGAGGCGGGTGAACGGGCGGCTGGGTGGGGGGAGGTGTCGGGAGTGTGTGGGCTCATGGAAGGCAGCCAACAGCGGCACGGCGCCCTACAAGACGAGCAGCTCGTCCATGCGATGGCCCGGTGCAGGCGCGCGGTGCTGGTGGCACGTGCTGGCGGCGGCTGTGCGCCAGGCCACAGACCCCAACCAGCGGCGTGGACTATCCGGCGCTGGGCCACTCACCGATCGTCACGCGCCCGCCGCGCTGGCTGATGGCCCGCGCCGCGCGCTGCCGCACATCCGGGTCGAGCCGGGGGCTCAGCAGCTCGCCCTTGCCAGCCACATTGTCCAGCAGAAGCTCCACCTGGCTGCGCTGCGCGGCAGCGGCGACGGGGCGAGGCGGCAGCCGGGCGGCCGCCCTCCTGCCGCCGCCGCCGGCTTGGCGAGGGTGCAGCAGGGAGCGCCTGCCGCCGGCCAACACGCTGCTGCTGCTGCTGCTGCCGCTGCTGCTGCTAGGAGCACAACGCCCGGGCGGACGCGGCGCGGCCTGGCAGAGCAGCCCAGGAGCGCCTGCCGCTCTCTGAGAGGATGCCTGAGCGGATGCCAGCATCCTTCAAGGCGGCTGTGAAGCCTGGTCCGAGGCACGGCAAGGCTCTAGACACACCGACCGAATGGAACGCGTCAGGCGCACCCCAGCGCCTCAGGCCCTCTACTAAAGGAACGGTATGGACAAGGCGAGCAATGTCCCAGGTAGCCTCACTTTCGTTTCGCAAAATTTGGGGTGCCAGCTCAGCTAAACCCTACAAAAAGCCGACACTGCTTGCAGGGGGGCCAATGCACACTGCTGTGAGCTCGGTAGCTGCTTCACACACACACATGGCCTGCCTCACATCCCTCAGCCGCCCGTGGAGGGTGGCGGCCCTGCATCACCGCACTCTGGCGCCATCCGCCCGCTTGCAGGTGCGCAAACGCATTTGTGGGGCCCGATCAGCATCCCGATCAGCGATCCGCGCCGGGCGGCAGGGGTTTGGGCTTGGGGTTGCCATGACAGGTGCAGCTGGCTCAGCCGCAACAAATGAGGCTGCGTGTCGCTCGCCCCGACCCGCTCTCCCTTCGTTTCTGACCTCCCCCCCACCTCACACACTCCCCCCGGCGTCGATGGCGCAGCCCCGCCCAGTGACTGCCTACCGCGACAGCGACCAGGCAGGAGCGGGAGGCGGCGCGGCGGCGCGACCCACCCCGCCGGCCCTGCAGCAAGTGGATGCCTACGAGGGCTTCACGACAGACATGGATGACTATGCAGACTTTGGAGACGGCGAGGCGGTGGCCTGCTGGCGCACGCTGGACCATGCAGACCCCCCGCAGGCGCTGCAGCCGGGCCACCGTTTTGCGCACCGCGCCAGCCGCCCCGCCAGCAACGCCGCGCCGCCGCGCCTGGCCAGCCTGGCCTCTGTCATGTCCCAGATGTCAGAGGCCAGCATGGATGAGGGGATGAGCGACGTTGAAGACTGTGTGATGGGCCGCGGCTACGAAGCCGCTGGCTGCTGGCAGGCCGACCTGGCCCCCGAGCTGCTGCGGGCCGATACGCCAGCCCTGGCCGGCGGCCAGGCCGCCGCCACCATCGCCGCCACGGCCGCCCTTGGCGCGGGGCTGGAAAGCGGATCCGCTGAAGTCGACCAACACGTGGCAAGCGGCTCCAGCGACGAGGAGGGGCAGCTCACGCCGTCGGGCCCAGGCACGTGGTGGGGAGAGCCGGAGCTTTCAGCCACTCTGCACATCCACTCTGGGTGTGTGCATGCTCAGCCACACGACGAACTCCGCTTCTCGCCTTGATGTCGCCTGGTCTGCCCCTGCCACCTCGCTGCTGCAGTGGGAGTGGATGGCTCCATTCTGGCCTCAATGGATGGCATGGTGGGCATCTGGGTGGGCTCCTCTTCCTCCGATTCAGGCTCGGGAGACGACAGCTGGACACAGGTGGTTGACACGGTGCGCATAATTGGAAAACAGGCTGGATGCCTGGCCCGGCCCCTGGAGACTATCTTCCTACTTTCGTGCCACAAGGTCTGGCATCCACATGGCTGCTGGTTCTGATCACGCTGCCGCTACAGGTGGAGCTGGGCGACGACTACCACAGCCTGCTGGGGGAGCTGCTGCAGCTGGAGGCCGTTGCCTCCCGCAGCTGCAGCGCCAGCGTGGATGGCCCGCTGCTCGCTGTTGGGTGCCAAGCGGGAGCCAGCCACCTCGAGTGAGGGCAGCCTCACTCGAGTCAAGAGGGTGCTGCGCAAGCATCCCCCAGTGTTCGTCAAGCCCGGCTTGATGTTGGCTTGATGTTGGCCAACATGCCATGCCATGGTCCCCTGGCAGTATCCACGAACGAATGACGCAGCCTTGCCCTGTTTTAAATGGAATTCATCATCTGAACACCCTGCACGCCTGCCCATCGGCTCGCCTAAATGCAAGTGCATGGCGCACTTGCGGCTAATACATTCCCCCTTGTTTTCATTCCAGCGAACCCCCTCCTTCCCCCTGCTTCAAGCCTCCGGGTTCTCTCCCTATTGGCACGATTTTCATGAATTTTCATTACAAAGATGTCTCTGTGCTTGGTGTTGCACACCTTTCCCGATTGCATCCCACCCACCCCTTGCTACACTTTGTCAGCCCAAAACACTGCTGCCGCTGCTTATGCGCAATTCATCAGCACTGCCGTTCTCCCGTGCTCCACTATCATCCAGCCCCTTCCCATGATCATCACCAATGCCCATGAACCTGATTTTTTGTGTCGCCCATCATACGCAAGGCATCCTCGATTTTCATTCATGCCCTGCGCATCGTACCTCCAAGGGCAGCCTGCCCCACTGCTTTTACATTTTCCAACCCCAGGCACTGCATGTGCGCTGCCAATCCAGGCGCACAAATGTGTGATTCGATGGAACCGACAAATGCATGTAAACATTCTTCCTGCCAATCGCTCAACTCTGCTCGCCGGCAGGCCGTCCCCATGGCGCTCAGTCGATGCTGCTGCCATCGCCGGAGCTGCCTGGCGCACGTGCACCACCCGCCGGCGCTGGCGGCGGCCCCGGCGAGGGCAGCAGGTCATGCTGCTTGAGGCAGGTCTGGATGTAGCGTGCCGCGCCGACGTGCATGCGACGGGCCAGCTGGCCGCGCAGCAGGGCCGCGTGCTGCTGCCGCTCCGCATCCGCCATGCCGGCATACACTGACAGGGGCGCACCAGAGCAGGCCACAGGGGCGTTGAGCACAGACCGTCGGGGCGTGCGGCAGGAGTAGCAGCGGCACATCGCCAGGAGCAGAGCCGCCATCGGGCTGAGCGCAGCCGGCAGAGGCGTTGCTGGCCACGCCCCAGGCAGCGCCGGCGCCCAGCCAAGCCGCCCCACTGCCCCGCACCTGCCAGGAACGCGCCGGCAAGGCCTTCGGTGAGCCCCACAGCCTGCGCCTCTGCCAGCTGGCAGCAGTCCAGCAGCACCTCACACACATCCGCTGCTGCCGGGGCGGTGGTTGGCGCTGCCTCTGCTGCTGCTGCTACTGGGGCAGGCAAAGCAACCGCTGCCACCGCCGCCGCTGCTGGAACAGCCAATCCCACGGCGGCCACCGGCGGCACTGCTGGCACCCGCGCCGCGGTCGCCGCTGCTCCTGCAGGGCCTTGTGAAGCGGGGGCAGCCCGCACCGGCTGAGAAGCCTGCTGCTGCTGCTGCTGTAGGGGCTGCTGCTGCTGCTGGCCGGCCCCAGCTGCCGGCAGCTCCTTGCCAAGCGCCCGCAGTAGGTAGCGGTTGCGCTGGCGCTGGGGCGCCGCAGCCACTGAGGCTTCAGCCGAACCAGCCTTTCCCGCTGCCGATGCGGCGGCAGGCTGGGGCGCAGCTGCGCCCGCTGCCGCTGCCGCCGCTGCCGCTGCCGCCGCTGCCGCCGCCGCCCTCGTGACAGAGGAGGGGGAGGGAGCCAAGCGCATGGTGCAGCAGCGCTTGCCAGGGCGCTCCCTGCGGACCGGGCAGCCACGGCCTGTGTCAGTGGGCACGGCCGCCACTGCTGCTGGTGCTGTTGGTGCTCCAGGGTCGCCTTTGAGGCCAGCGAGCGCCGCCGCTTCTGCTGCGCCTGGTGCGGCCCCTGCTGGCACCTGCTCCAAAGGCTCGTCCTTCACATCAGCCGCACCCGTCACTTGCCCGTCGCCTCTCTCCTCCTGCCGAACAACGTCGCATGCAAAGCGCACAGAGCGTTGCCACCCAGCGCCCAACAAAACCAGCGCGTCCACCACAGTGTCGGGTCCTGGCGCTGCTGCCTGGTGCGCTGCCGCTGCCCCCGAGGTGCCTGCGCCATTGCCAGCTGCCCTGCAGGCTGCTTGCCGCACCCCGCCTGACGCCACCTCTGGCCACGTCGGCGGCCGGCTGCTCCATGCCGCAGGGCTGGCAGCGGCGGCTGCGCTGGATGGGGCGGCTGGCTCGGGTGCTTCTGTGTGCATAGCACTCAGACCCGCTGTCGCTGCCGAGGGGCTCTGGACATCAAGAAGCTCTTCCTCTTCCTCCTCTTCCTCCTCACTGCTGCCAGCAGGGCTGCGCAGCTCGGGGAAGCCAGCACCCTGTTGCTGCAGCACCTGCTGCTGCGGGTCCGCCTGCTGCTGCTGCTGCCCTGCCAGATGCTGCTGCTGGTTTTCCTTCCCTCGAGCTGCCCCGGGCAGATCTTCATACTCTGGCAGGTCACCCACAGGCACCGGGCGCAGCGCGAGGAACAGAACATTCCGCTTCTTCAGGGCCCCCTTGCCCTTGCTCTTGCCCTCGACCTCTGCCGCCGCCGTCCAAGGCCCCGCCTCGCCAGCCCCCGCCTCGCCCACAGCTGGTGCTGCTGGCGCTCCTGCCGGGGAGGCTGCCGGACCCTGCTGCGGCGGCGGCTGCCGCTGCCGCACAATGTCCTCCTCCAGAGTGCCCCGCATCGCCAGCGTCTCCACATGCACCGCCTGGCGGGCGCCCATACGGTGCGCTCGACTGATCACCTGCACGTAGCACAGCCCGGCCGTGGGGAAACAGCGTGCAGGTTACATGGGCAGGAGAGGAATTGCGGCAAACAACGGAGAGAAACACGCTGCTAGTGCGCAAAGCTGGATTCCATCAACACGCAGTTGTTTTGCGTTGTAACAGCTTGCCTGCTCCTCCACCGCCAGGTCCATGATGGGTTCAATGAGGAAGACGTTGCTCACAAAGCTGTACCATTGGGGTGAAGGGGTGAATGGGCAGCAGGAGACAGTGGGGCTCCTTTGATCGGCGTCACGCCATGGGCAACACACACGTAAGGCAGCCAGGCAGGCAGCCAGGCAACCTCTGTGAATGCAGCTTTCGGGCACCGCAGCTGGCCAGGTGCGGGGCCCCCAGCCGGTTGCCACACCTGAGATCCAGCCCAACCTGGCCCGTTTTGTCCATCAGCAGAACGCCCGCGCTGCCTGGGCCCCGAGCACGGAACCTGAGGGAGCAGCACAGAGCAGTGGTAAGCAGCCAGCAGGATCAAAGCAGCCACCCGGGATGCTGCCGCAAACACGCTGCCACATGCAGCCATGGACATGCTGTGCACCCGCCCACCTGCTCAAAGCCACGCGCTTCTGCAGGGCGGTGTCGGATCTCTTCAGCACTGCCACCGCCACGCCGTGGGACCGCAGGTATCGCTCAACGACAGACATGTGCTCCCAGAACTGCGCCAGGTGGCGGCGCCAGCGCGGCAGTCGGCGACCGCAGGTGACGCATAGCCAGTGCTGCAAGCGGCGTGGCTGAACGGCAGGCTGCGCAAAGCGATGTGCGCCAGCACGGCAGCTGACCAGAGACCAAGGGCTCCTCCGCTAGCCGGATGGCCGGCGTGGGCATGCCAACCGAATACAACCACAGAGCGCCCAGGGAAAAAGGCTGCACAGCGGTTCTTCCTGTCTTCTCACCTGCGTGTACACAATGGCCTTGGAGGACGGCTGCCTGCCGCTGCTGGGCAGCACGGCGGCCCCAACCTCCAGCAGGCGGCGCAGCAGGTGCACGCACTTGGTGCTCTGCGTGTGCTTCCAGTCCGCCTGCCAGAAGCCCTCGCTGATGCCCTTGGCGCCTGCACGGCAGCAGCCATCCATTGCTGGCAGCTTGGCGACCAGGAACGAGCGTGCACGGCGCAGCAGGGAAGGCCAGCATGGCTGTTCTGGCAAAGAAACATGCACCAGGAGACATGCCGACTGAGAGTAGGGTGCGCCAGTGCCGCCGATCAGTGCCCACAACCACCCACCTCTCTGCGCATAAGCCGGCTGCCACTCAATCAGCTCCTGAGGGACGCTCCACTTGGGGCACGAGTTGTCCTTCAGCCGCGCAGGGTCGTTCTTGCCCTGCAGCCAGACAGCGGTTGCGTGGGTTGGCAGGACGGCCATCTCTCAGCGAATGTCGGGACCGGCGCCAGCGATGCTACGGCCTGCCTGCGCCCCAGCACGAGCGACATACCACACACAAACAGGGACCACCCTCCCCATGGTGATCCAGAGGGAGGCAAGCAGGCGCATGACAAGGCGGGCGTCAAGCACACGCGCCTGCATGTAGTATTCCTGCCAGCACTGCGGGCAGCGTTCGCGGTCCAGGCTGGCGCACGTGACGCAGAGGAGGCAGGCGCAGGGCGTGACGCACAGCACCCGGACCACGCTGGAGCAGAGGTCGCAGGCGCCTCCCTCTTCCAGGCAGGCACGGATGTGCCTGGCACGCCTGCTCCACTCGGGGCCTGCTTCATCTAACAGCTGCTGCAGCGGGGGAGGTTTCCCCTCCTCCTCCTCCGCGGCATGGCAGAGCTGCACAAGCGGCTGCTGGCGCGAGGGGCCCGCCGCCGCAGGATCTGGTGCCAGCTGCTGCATATTGATGTGGCGGCGCGTCAGCAGCTGCATCGTCTCCACAACGTCCTGCTCCAAAACCTGCAGCGGGGTACTCCAGGCAGCCAAATGCAGGCATTGCGGCTCGCGCCTAACAACCTGGACCCTTGCCTGTAGCGACGGGTGTTCAAACACCTGCCACGACCGTCCACAAAACGCATGGGCGGAGTGCCCCCGCCCAGCCCACCTGCAGCTGACAGTTGCCTGCGACGTTGCAGGATTTGTGGAGGTTCATGAGAGTCGGGATGGCCCACTTGGAGTTGATGCAGTTGAGCAGGCTCTGTGTGTTGCCTGGGTCAAACCTGCACGGCAAGGCTCAGCAACACAGCTCGGCATACGGTTCACTACTTCGATGCATCCTCTATTGACTATGCTGCCCAGCAGCAGGCCAGCCTGACCAGCAAGCCAGCACGGCAGCGCGACCAGCCAGCAGCTAGCCCAGCGCAGCGCACCAGTCGGCAGTGACCAGGTTGAAGCGGACAATGTCCACAAAGCCGTTATACGATGTGGCGTGGGCTGGCGCAAAGTCCAGCAGGGACGTCTGCAGCAGGCGGGCGGGCGCACGCCAGCAGCAACGCATGAGCGAGCATCGGCAGACAGAATAGGTGCCTCGATGGTAGGTGTGCGTGTGGGTGAAGAACAGTGGTGGGGGTGGGTAGGACGGAGGTGAAGCCAATGCCTCACCTTGCACTTCAGCGGCGGGATGCCCAGGCTGAGCAGCTCGTCTTTGGAGGCCCGGATCATGCACCGCTGCAGCAGCGCCAGCAGGCGCAGGCGGCCAACCTCTTGCCGCGCCTGGAACGGCTCCTACAGGCGGCAGGGGGAATGATAATGAGGGCAGGGCAAACAACGGTACGTGATAAGCAAACTGATGGACACCTGGAAGGAAACACAAAATAGGCCATATCAGAAAGTCTCGCTCCAGCAACTCGCCTGCACTGCCTTCTTCCAGAACCGCTCCTCCTGGTACGGCTGCTGGTGCAGGAAGGCCAGCAGGGGGCGCAAGTTCTCCACGCTGGCATCGGGCGTGTTGGGCGTGGGAGTGCCTGCGCTCAGGCAGGCATAGCCGCTCCGTCAACCACCAACCTGAGCTGCCCTGGTCCACCAACGCTTGCCGCATGTGGCACATCCATGTGGCACTCCTGCACCCGCACCAGCAGCTGTTACTCACCCGTCATGACCCACCGCCGCTCGGCCAGCAGCTTGGTCGCCATGCGGTGCTTGTTGGTGGTGTCGCTGCCGCCGATGCTGTGCCCTTCATCAAGGATGACCCTCTGGAAGTGCACCTGCGATGCAGCAGGGGCATTCTGCTGTTCAGGGTAGCTGTACATGCAGCAGCGCGACGGGATGCAGGACAAGCGGCCTCAATCATGCAGCTGACCTGCACTAGCCACCTGCCCGCTCACCTGCAGGAGCCGGCTGGAGGCTCCGTAGCTCCACTCATTCGAGAGCGTCTGGAACGTGGTCAGAATCTGCAATCGTCATGATGACACACAGGGCTCATCAAGCAGGGCTGCTTGACAGCCAGCTCATTAGCCAAAGGCATGTGCAGCAGCAGCAACAGCATTGCGGCCAGCTGCGGCCAGCTGCGGCGCAGTGGAAACGGCACATGAAGAGTGTGGTGGCTGCGGAACCCACCACGTCTGTCTCCCAGGCCAGCTGCTCGAGCGTCAGGGCTTGGCCCAGGCGGCTGGCCTCCTTCACAGCTGCACACAAACAAGCCGAGCAAATCAGTGCTGCCGCACGTACAGCTCACTGTGCTTCTCCAGTCCGTTCACCGCCCCTGCCGGAGCAGCAGCAGCAGAGAACTCCCTAGTCTACAGCAGCCTGCAGCTTCTGTTCTACACGGTGCAGCTTCCGACCATAACAATCTGTGGCTGTTATTTCTCCTCACAAACGCACCCCACTCACCATCCCCGGTGTAGACCAGCACACGCAGGCCGGCCTCCTGGCGCACGTGCAGGCGCTTCTGGTGCTGCCAGTGCTCGATGATCTCCGCATCTGGCACCACCACCAGAGTGGCAGGGGACAGGAGGACGCGGCGAGCCTCCAACAGAGGGCCTGCACACCAGGCAGAAGGCTGGTAGGGTGGACCGGCGCGCCAGCGCTGCCACGCTAGGAGGGACACGACAGGTGCCAGCCCGCAAGCAAGCCGCTAGGACAGCGCACCATCACACAGCGCTTGAAGCAAAGCCTCCAGGTCAAGCTCCAGGGCTGCATGGGAGGCTGGCCGCTGCCATGTCGTGGCCCGGTTTACATCGAATTTCTTCCGTCGCCGTTGCTGCGTGACAATGTTGCCTGCTGCTGCTGCTGGGACCTTGTCCTCCTCCTCCTCCTCCTCCTCCTCGTCTGCTCCCAGCTCGAAATCAGACCAGTCATAGTCGCTTGTCTCTTCACTGCCGGAGCAGCTGCGACCACTGCGCCTGCTGCGTTTGCCAAACCCTCTGCCGCTGCCGCTGTCCATCGCCCTACTCTGCTGCTGCTGCTGCTGGTGTGTTGTGTCACTGTTCGGCTGCTGTTGCCGCTGCTTGATGACAGGCTCCAGCTCCAGTTGCCGGAACAGCAGGCCAGTGTTTGTAAAATCCCTGCGTGCATACAGCGCCAGCGAGATCTTAACTCGACATAAGATCTGACAGCTGCTCAGCATACCAGCTCAATAAAATCCAGGCGGCAGCTGGTTTGCAATTTCGCACCCACGATAGAACGGTGCAAGACTGCCCCGTGGCAATGTGAATGGCGCCTCCATCAGCTTGGCCAGCGGCTGGCGGCTGAGCCAGGTCAATGGCGAGATGCTGTCCATCTGGTTTGGGTGCTGAGCCAGCAGCGGCGGAAGTAAGTCACGTTGTGCTGGGCGCCCCGTGGGCTCCCAGCTGCCACCCACCTGCACACAGGGCGGCACGGCAGAATTGCGAAGCTCATCCAATCACTGCCACACTTCCACGGCAGCGTGGCTGGGCAGCTGCACTGATACTCTATGCGGCAGGTTGCCTGCAGGCTCACCCAGGGCAGAACAGCACGCGGGAGGCGCCGCCATCCCATGAATCCTCGGGAGCCTGGCAGCCCTGCCACTGCAGGCGCTCATCTGGGTTCATGGCACACACCCAGTCACCACAAGGGGCCTGCGGGGCGTGCACAGCAAGTGGGTGCATAGACATGAGCCACCATCCACGACAGGGAGAAGCGAGGGGATGCGGAGACGCAGTTGGGGATCGATGGAGCCAGCAGAAGGGCATGCGTGCCGCAGATGGCGCAAGCACCTGGGAACCAGGGGGCAGCTGGCGCCACTTCTGGCACGCGTCACACTGCACCCAGGTGTCTTCCATGCTGCCATCTTTGCTCAGCCCGGCACTGGCGTCGCCGACAAGGGCAACAGAAACTGCAGTCCCTGCTGGCTGCTGCGGCGGCAGCTGCGGCGGAGGTAGCGGCCGCGGCTGCGGCGGCTGCTGTTGCTCCTGCAGCTGCTGCTGCTCTGATTGCTGCTGCGAGGGGTTGCGGCGCTGGCGCCTGATGCGCTTCGCCAGTTCTTCTGGATCCTCGGGAGGAAACTGCAGCTGCTCGCTGGCCTCCAGTTCGCTGCCACGGCTTGCCGTGCTGGCTCCGCTCCGCGTGCGCTTCAAGCACCCCCGGCTGCTCCGCCTGCGCTCCGTTTGCGGAGCGGCAGCCTCCGCCTCTGGCAGCAGACTGTAGAAGCCGCACCCAGGCCGCACCCAGGTGACGGCGCCAGGTGGCGGGGCAGGCAGCCTGCGCAAACTGCGAAGGATCAACGCCAGCTGCACAGCAGGGGCAGCAGCGGCGACTCGGCCATGCTAAGCAGGTTGGAGGAGTGGTTAAGCTGCGGTATTGTCCATCCACCTGCTCTGTTCCCTGCATGCAAGCAAGTCTTTAGCTGATGTGGCGCATGAGAATCTCACCATGGTGATCGTTTTTCCCAATCCAGGCTCATCGGCGAACAATCCGCCCCGGCTGTCCACCAGCTGCTGCGGCGGCTTCTCCGTCCACAGCTGACCCGTGGCTGTGTCAGCCCAGAACGGCAGGCCCAGCTCAAAGGGAGGCGCTCCACTGCCACTGCAGCCGCCGCCGCTGCTGCTGCTGCTGGCAATGCAGTCGGCAAGGGAGCCGGCTGCGGCAGCAAAGGGGTCGTCGCCAGGGCCCAGCTCCAGGCACTGGAAAGCGCGGATGGTGGGGTGGCGCATCGGGCCCCCAGCCTTCTCGCGCTGCTGCATCCACAGCACCGCCTCACGCTGTAGGAGCCAGGGAGGACAAACACGTGGGAGGCTGTTGGTTTGCGGACATCACAGCCCCAGCTGGCAAGAGGCATGGGCGCCGCTCGTTGGGCTGAGCTCGGCTTGCGCCAGGTCAGCAGCCACCCACGCAGCACGTCCAGCGTGAGCACCTGGTGAGGGTACAGCTTCAGCTTCAGGCCGGGCGCCACGTCCAGGCAGAGGTCGCGCATGTGGCGGCATGTGGCGCCCATGGCCGCCAGCGAGCGGCGGTCCAGCCGCGACAGCACGCTGCGGGTCACGCTCTCATCCAGCTGCAAGCACACAAGGGAGAGCAGGGTCTCGCTGCTCAGTTTCCACAAAGATCAAGAGACAAGCGGGGGTGGACCACCAAGGCAGGCAGCTGGGCGAGGCAGCTGCCGCAAATCGGGCCCAGCGGCACTGTCGCAAGGCACCTGATCCAGGGGGCAGGGCTGGGCAGAGTCTGCGGGGCACAGCTCGGCCAGCTGTGCCTGCCCAAACTTCATGGGCAGGGCGCGGAAGCAGCCCGTCAAGCTGCACGGGGGCGGAGGCAGGGCACTGATTGTTCTTGTCGAATGGCAGGTACAGGTCTGTGCCTGGTCAAACGCAGGCAGGCTGCCAGGCCAGCCCACACCTGAAAACCTCTGCATCGGTGCCAGCCTGCTGCACCCCTTCAGTTTCCAACTCTCGACGGAGCTGCTCCACATAGGTGAGGGGCTGCTGCTGTCCATGCTGCTGCTGTGCCGGGCTGCTCCCAGCTGCTCCTGCAGCCTCGTCCACTCCCTCCCGTGGCAGCACAGCCGGAACCAGGTGAGCAAACAGCAGGGCGGCCTTGTCACCGGCCTGCCAGCGGTTGTGGCTGGCCCAGGTGCTCTCTGGCAGCACAATGGCCAGCAGCACACGAACTCTGCCGCCCGCCACCGCTGTGACCAGCGCACTGCACTCGATACGCCCCTTCTTCAACTGCAGCAGCGCCGGCAGGACATCGCTGTCGCCGGCTGCGTTTGGAGCCACAGGCGTGCACCCTGGCTGCGGTGACATGCGAGCCTCCAGCAATGCCTCACCAGTTCAACCACAGCACCCAGCGGGGTAGGGGGCTGCTTGGAGCGCGGCGTGGAGGCGATAGCGGCGGTCGAGACGACGGCCCTGCAGCAGAGGAGGCAGAGGCGGCATCGGGCGGGCGGCGGCTGGAGACTGTGGCGTGGCAACGCGACACACCGCTATTCAATCTATGTGCGGCAGAGATTAATGTGCATTTGTGCAAAACGGAAAGGCGCAGCGAGGCGCAGAGAGGACACACCCATTTTGATCGATGAGAGCGGCGGTGGACTTCCTGGCCTGGCGTCTCATGTGCAGCCTCTGCCCCACCGTGACTGCGCTGCCAGGGCCCAGGGCGAATGCCTGGTCGTCCTCCACCGACAAAAACCCTGCCAGGTGCCCCATTGCTGCTGCCCGCGCGACGGTATGGGGTCAGTGCTTCATGACCCGCGGAAAGCAATCAAAAGATAAATTGTTGCGGATGCATGCTGACGTCATGCGGCGCCGCCGCCACTGCGCGGCCAACCACCGTAGCAGCAGACTGTGCTGCTCACGCCTTGCTGGGTTCTGCCCAACCTCGCATCGCAGAAGATAGCGTCGCAGATCCATATGAGCATTCGCGGCTGCTCGCAAAACCCTTTCAGCTCATGGCGACCGCCGGCCCACGACGAGGGCGCCGAGCGCCCCGACGACAAGGAGCGAGCTACACCGACCTCGGTGCTGTGGCCACAGCACTGTTGCCAGGCCCTGGCTGACATCTAAGGGGCAGAATGGATGCGAGGAGCACGATGGGGAGCACGGCTTCACAGCTTGGTCGTAGCGCAGCTTCTGGAAGGGCGGCGCTTTGGTGGCAATTGCGCAATACAGTCTTCTCTGCTCTCCCCCACCCATTCGATCGCTGACGGGGTTCAAGGCGCTGTTGTGTGGGGAAAGGGCCCCCAGTGCAACCTCGGGCACTGCAACTCAGCAGGAAGCGGCAGTCAGGGCTGGGGCATGGGGGGCATGTGGGGCGGGAGGGGCTCTCGACGCGGCGATGTGCGTGATGGCTGTGATAAAGCCCGATGGTGGCGGGAGATCAACAATGCACGGGAGCAATCAAGCAGGGGATGCCAGGCTGGCGCCCGGACCTGCGCTGGCCTCACACCGTGCGCGCATGCCCTGCAGCATCCGTTTCCGCGTTCCTCTCCCCCACACAGCATCCTCTACAGCGCCGGGCCGGGCCTACAGGGCCTATACACCACTTCCTCTGTCACCCAGAGGTGCGAGCCAGATGCGGGCGCTGGAGGGGCTTGCAGCCCAGGCCCCTGCCCCCTGGGGTCCCTGGCAGCGATGATAAGCACAATTGGGCAGCTGCGGGGCCCCGGCAGCCCGGCGGCAGCAGTGGGTGCTGCTGAGAAGGGGACATGGGCGGCAGGGCCCCAGGCCACCCAGTCCACACGGTCCCACCCTCTCCAGGCCCAGCGACGAGGGCTGGGCCCGGGGGCGGGCGTGTTGCCCCTGCCAGCTGCTGGCTTCCAGTCCACTCTTGACGGCTGCCACTCCATGCTTCCCTGAGCCCTGCAGGCCACGATCTCCCAGTCCTTGGACCTCACTACCTCACCCCAGGACTGCATTGGCCCCCTACAAGCCTCCTAGCCGCTGCCACAGGAGTTGCTGGGCACAGAGGCAGCGCGCCATCGTGAAACGCGGCAGTATGAGGACCTGCCAATCGGTGAGCGCTGACCCGCGGCAGGCTCCAGCAGCGCCCTGGTGGGCGGCAGCAGCGTTGCGGTGCCCCCAGCGGCACGTCCTCGCGGCCCGGCATGTTCGAATGCCCGATATTGCGGCCTGGTGCCTGGGGTGCCGTGCGAGGCTCGGGCAGCGCGCCGAGGCCGAGCGGAAGTCAGGCGGCACCTTATTGCGTCTCCCCCGCCAGGCTGCCGGCCATGCATTGCCGCCGCCGACGCCCGCCACCGACGCCCGCCGCCGACGTCCTGCCCCCGCCTGCCCGCAGCTCGCGCTGCTGGCGAGCCTCGCGCTCCTGCTGGGCGCCACCACCGCCGCGGCGGCGTGCTCCGCGGAGGAGAAGTGCGTGGCCAGCAGCTGCGGCGACGCCTATGGCGCCCCCGACATCAAGTTCCCTTACTCTGTTGACTACACCACCACCGGCGACTCCCTCACCACCACCTTCCACTTCAAGGTGCGCAGCTGGGGGCAGGGACAGACCCGCAGCAAGCGCGCCGGCTGCAGAGGAGGGCCGGCGTGGCCCAAGAGGATGGGTGGGGCCAGCGAGCGCAAGGAGCAGCGCGGCTGGTGGCGCGTGGTTGTTCCCTGGCCGCGCGCCCCAGCTCACCCGTCCCGCCGCCCTTCCCCTTTTGCGCCGCAGGTCTGCTCCACCGCCTGCGACGCCGCCGACCCGCTGTGCAAGCCGCTGGCCGCGCTGCGCCTGCGCCTGAGCGACGCCGTGCTGGCCGCCCCCGTCAAGTTCATCAAGCTGGCCAACCCAGAGGGCTCGGTGGCCGCCTCGTGCGCCGCCGCCGGCCCCGGCTGGTTTGTCAAGGGCGGCGAGCTGCTGTCGCTGGCATCCAACAACCCCGCGCTGGTGAGGGCGCGCACGCCGCGGCGGGGAGGCGGGCTGCGCACCAAAGCTGCTCGCCTGCGGCCCACCACCTGCACACCCGCAGCTGCCGCCTGCCTGCTCCAGCCCCAACCGTGCCGCCCACCTCCTCCCACACGCACAAACCGCCGCCTGCAGGGCGAGACGTGTGAGGTGATCACCGTGTCTGTTTACAACCCGCCCGGCGCCACCGAGCCCATACCGCTGTCGCAGCTGTGCCAGCAGGGCGTCGAGGTCGTGGACGAGGCGGGCAAGGGTGAGCGAGACGCCGGCACACGGCTCGCGCCGCGCACACGCACATGCCACACGCGTTCCTACCTACCCCATCAGCGCACCCAGCCTGCAGACTGTGCTTGCCGCGGCGCCGCACGCCGGCCCGCTTTTGGTGCTATGCCCACAGCCCGCCTGCCCACCTCGCCCTCGCCCCCTCTTGCTCCATTCCCCCTCCTGCCGCAGCCGTGTTCTCCCAGGACGGCGCCTCCTGCCTCTACACTCTGGAGCTGGCCTCTGGCCTCTCTGGCGTTGGGCAGGTGGACCAGCGGACGCCCGCGCCTCCCGCCTCCCCATCGCCCTCCCCCAAGCCAGTCGCACCCCCCTCCCCGTCTCCCAAGCCCGTACCCAGCCCCTCCCCATCTCCCTCCCCCAAGCCCGTCCCAAGCCCCTCCCCCTCCCCCAAGCCCGTCCCAAGCCCCTCACCCTCCCCAAGCCCCTCCCCCAAGCCCGTGCCCTCCCCCAGCCCCGTGAGCTCCCTGCAGAGCCTGCGGTG